TTTGCATTCTCCTAGTTCCTCCATGCTCTCCTCCAGTTCCTTCACCCTGTTCGAGAGCTTCTTAAATTTTCCTCGTCCTTTCCCTCCAAGCACAGGTTTTACCTCTTCCATCAGAGTAACCAACAATAGGCAAACCAGAAATGTAGATATTCGTCGGGTAGACATTTCCGCTGGGTAAATGAAGGTAAAAATGCAGCTTACTCGTTACTGTCTTTCGCACTCACAGAAAAATTGATACGGTTGAAAAACACGTTATTCACCAATTTTATAACAATACCTCTAACCCTCTAAGAACTTTTATCCGCCTGTGTTATTCCGCCTGTGTTGCAGTTGATTTTGTCGCTGACTGGATCTCATCCTCTCTCTTTGAGCTTTTCAGCCTTTCTTGTAATTTTTTATTTTTAAAGGATCCTTACTCTTTTTTATTTTCTATTTTTTAATTTTTTTAAACTTTTTCCCCAACTTTATACTCATGTACGTGAACTCAAAACAGATTTATATGAGACTAGTGGGGATTATGCGGGTAAAAAAGCCACTTAAAGATAGGAATGTGTTTTCGGGATGATCATCAGTATTCACAATAAGGATTCTTGGCTAAATAATAGTAATGGGTCATTTTTTATAATTAAGTATTATGCTTCTGAGAAGAAAGTACTCCTTAATAACTTTTTAAATAGGTCGTATTTCATTTGAATGGTAAGCAAAAACAAGGGAGGACTATTTTGATGTTTGAACTTAAAGATGTTTAAGAAGAGTATCAAGGTTGTGCTTTTTGTAGAAATTCATGGAGCATCCTCGCCAATTTAAATTCATTGGCTTTTTACCGCGTAAAATTATGGAATTATGCATGGTGCACGAAAAAGTAATGGAACCAATTATTTTTTGTTAGTATGGTATGATTATATGAGCGCAACGGGTGAACATCAGCTAAAGACTTTTAGATAAAAACCTCGACCGTCGAGCGCTATTGAAGGAATTTTTCTTCTTTAAAACAAGAGTACTTCTGAGTTATATAGTTATTCCTCTCTGAACGTGTAGTGCTTTGCGTTCCTACTGAAAATAGAAATCCTTCGGAGTATGGCGGAGCTCTTAATTACTTACTTCGTAGTTGCTGTGCATGGAGATATAAACGGTATACACGACGGATAAAACAACCTGCGTGTGTAAAGGCCTAATGGTTACAAAAGTAAAACGTCAGACGTTGATTACGTACCTGAAATGATCTTGGTCAATCTGTTAGTATTCAGTACTCAAACCTATCACAAAATGAAAGACGAAATGTTAAAATTGACCGAAATCTGTAGTGCTACACATTGATTGTGGACCAAAAAAGTCATTTAAAAAGAGGAGACAACCTCTGGTCCTCGGCTGAT